TGAACTGAACTGATGTACTCATTATCTGAATGCATAGAATACATGTTTTGTACTCAATATATGGGGACCCATCTAGTAGGGTTAGACAGTAGTAGTCACACCTACCTGTGATTTCATCCGAGTACACCCTGAGGACTTCCATAGGCTCTCTCATCCCAGTGGGTCAATCCTCAGGGTAATTTGATTCACCACGATATGCCTACTTATTTAATCTCATCAAAAACCCATCTTTAAAAAAACTATGTTTCTTAGTTTTCCATCCATAACAAGAAAAGGGTGATAATTGTATGGCTACATTTTTTTCAGCCAAACAACTGCTGCATTTTGTCATTTAAAACTCTAGACTTTTCTTTCATTCAACCATCAGGGTTTATAGTGACGTAGTGATCTGTCTGCAGGAAGTCATATGTCACCTTATTAGGTTGCCCTATAGGGAGTATTTCCCAGAAATTCCACCCCAAATAATATTTTTAGAGTAGATGTATCCTGGAAGATGTGTTAAAATTTACTGTCCTTTTACTACAGTTCTGCCCTGTCATTAACAATGGGTACAGTTCCTCATCATATTGTACAATCAAAAGGTCTTCCAGATGATGCCACTCAGATTTTAAAAATTCTGTTTAACCTTATGATTCCAAAAGCAGGGGTGGTCTCAGTAAACATACAACTTCACCTTCTTTGGCATCTGCTTGTTGCTGTTTAGTCACTAAGTCGTGTCTGATTTTACAACCCCATGGACTGTAGCATGTCAGTCTCCTCTGTCCTCCACTATCTCCCAGAGTTTGATCAAAGTCATGTCCATTGAGTCGGTGATGCTATCTAAGTGTCTCATCCTCTGCTAACCCATTCTCTTTTTTTGCCTTCAATCCTTCCCAGCATCAGGATCTTTTCCAATGAGTCAGCTCTTTAGGTGCCAAAGTTAAGCTTCAGCAACAGTCTTTCCAATGTATAGTCAGGGTTTATTTCCTTAGGATTGACTGGTTTAGTCTCCTTGCAGTCCACGGGACTCTCAAAAGCTTTTTCTAATACCACAATTCAAAAGCATCAATTATTTGGCACTCAGCCTTTTTTATGGTCCAACTCTGACATCATACATGACTCTGGAAAAACCAGAGCTTTGACTACATGGGCTATCTGGTGTAATTGGCTAAGAAACAATATTATTTTTTGCTTCCAGCTGCATTAAAGGAATCAAGGTAATGTTGGATTTCCCTCTGTGCACAATTCATTTATTCATTCTTTTGTCCTCAGCTACTATATCTTCTTCTCTCCATTTGTCACTGATTTGAACCTAAACTTTTCCAACTTTGGAAGGAGCATTAGGTCTAGCCACTGTGCTGGTCTAGACTTCAAAGAGAAATACCAGTCTAGCAAGTACTTTCCCCTCTGTCCATTCTCATTTATACAGAGGACTAGTGCAAACACTACACAATGCAGCTGCATTCACTCTAAAGCCAAATTTTGCCAAATGGGTAAAGGCACAATTCATCTAAGACATTGGCCCAAATGCTTCTTCTGGGATAAACAGAATCTGTGGGCAACCAGGCCTGAAGCATGCTGCTGCTTCCAGAAAATGTTACAAACCCCTGTATACTCCAAATTTGGCCTTGGATATCATTATAAATGAAGTGTCCCTAATTCTCTGAACTCATTCATAAAGCTTCAGACCTAATGGAAAGTGAAATCCAAATGGCCATTGTTCAAGAAGCATGGGCCATGGTGGAATTTTATGAGTAGTTAGTGAGATGACTCAGCAAACAAAGTAGCATGCCAAAATCATCACCCTTCCAAAACTTTTGGAAGCATCAGGAGAAGGAAATACAAAAAAGACAGTTCAAGATCACCTTGTAGTCTTTGGGTTGTATATGTGTCAAGAATATGTGACAGAATAAATCACAACAAGGTCTTTTTTGTCTCGCTTCTTAGAGTGATGAAATAAAAACAAAAATAAACATATTGGATATACTTAAAAGCCTTTGCTCAGCAAAGGAAACCATAAACAAAATGAAAAGACAACTCTCAGAATGGGAGAAAATATTTGCAAATGAGGCAACCAACATGGCATTAATTTCCAAAACATACAAACAGCTCATTGAACTCAGTATCAAAATAGTAAACAACCTAATAAAATATTAGGTGGAAGATCCGAATAGATATCCCCCCCCCAAAAAAAAGAGACATACAGGTGGCCAAAAGATGAAAAGATGAAAGGCCAAAAGCATGAAAAGATGCTCAACATCACTAATTTTTAAAGAAATGCAGATCAAAGCTACAATGATACAAAGTTACAAAAGCTATCATCTCGCACTGGCCAAATCAGCCATCATAAGAAAATCTACAAACAATAAATGCTGGACAGGGTATAGAGAGAAGGGAACCCTCTTGCACTGTTTGTGGGGATGTATATGGAGAATGGTATAGAGGTTCCTTAAAAAAAACTAAAAATGGAAACACAGTATGACTTAGCAGTCCCATTCCTTGTGCATATACTTGGAAAAAAACTATAAATTGAAATGATACATGCATGCCAAAGTTCATTGCAGCACCATTTACTATAGCCAAGACATAGAAGCAACCTAAATGTCCATCAACAGAGGAATGGATAAAGAAGATGTGGTACATATATACAGTGGAATATTACTCAGCATAAAAAGAATGAAGTAATGTCATTTTCAACAACAGGAATGGACCTAGAGATTTTCATACTGAGTGAAGGAAGTCTGACCAAAAAAAAAGACAAATATCATATGATACTGTTTATATGCAGAATCCAAAAAAAAAGGTACAAATGAACTTGTTGGCAAAACAGAAGTAGAAAACAAACTTTGGTTACCTGGGAGTAAGGAGGGGAGAGGGTTAAATTGGGATACTGGAATTGACATATACACATTACTGTTTTTTAAAAAAATTGGCTTTAAGTGGAGGATAATTGCTTTACTATGTTACATTGGTTTCTGCTGAATCAGTCTTAAGTATACACGTATCCCCTCCCTCTCGAGCCTCCCCGCCACCACCCGCCCTCCATCCTATCCCTCTGGGTTGTCACAGAGCACTGGGCTGAGCACCCTGTATATACCAGCTCCCCATTGGTTACCTATTTTATGCATTGTAGAGTACATATGTCAGTGTTGCTTCTGCTGCTGCTAAGTAGCTTCAGTCGTGTCCGACTCTGTGCGACCCCGTAGACGGCAACCCACCAGGCTCCGCCGTCCCTGGGATTCTCCAGGCAAGAACACTGGAGTGGGTTGCCTTTTCCTTCTCCAGTGCATGGAAGTGAAAAGTGAAAGTGAAGTTGCTCAGTCCGACTCTTGGCGACCCCATGGACTGCAACCCACCAGGCTCCTCCATCTATGGGATTTTCCAGGCAAGAGTACTGGAGTGGGGCGCCATGCCTTCTCTGATGTCAGGGCTACTCTCTCAATTAACCCCACCTTCACCTTTCCCTGTTGTGTCCCTAAGTCCATTCTATATATAAAATAGTTAATTGAAAAGGACCTAGTGTATAGCACAGGGAAATCTACTCTCTGTAATGGCCTATATGGGAAAAGAATCTATAAAAAGAGTGTACACACACACACACACACACACACACATCAGTTATATGATTCACTTTGTTGTATACCTGAAAATAACACAAGATTACAAATCATCTATACTCCAATAAAAATTTAAAAACAGACTACGAGTCAGAAAGCCTTTACAGAGTGTATCAAAATAGAAGAATCACTTCAAGAAACTAGAACCCCTCTGATCATTACTGTTATTTATAGTTAGAAGGGGGCAGACGAAAAAGGATTTGAATAGAAGGGTTTATTACATGAGGCCCATGTGTTAGATCATATGAGGATGTAACTGCTTATAATCAAATGCCTCCTTGTGTGGGTACCTGTAAAGTAAAAATTAGTGAAGAAAACCAGAATATCAGGTTCAAGAATGTAGGGATGATGTTTTTTAAAATTTTTTATTTTTACTTTAAAGGATAATTACTTTACAATATTGTGATGGTTTCTGCCATACATCAACATGAATCCACATTAGGTATACATATGCCCCCTCCCTCTTGAACCCCTCTCTCACTTCCCCCCATCCCACCCCTCTAGGATGTCAGAGAGCACTGGCTTTGAGTTCCCTGCATCATATATTGAACTCCCACTGGCTATCTATTTTGCATATGGTAATGCATATGTTTCAATGCTATTCTCTCATATCATCCCACCCTCTCCTTCCCCATTGTGAAAGACAAATATCGTATATTAACGCATATGTAAGGAATCTAGAATAATACTGATGATCCTACTTGCAAAACAGCAGAGAACACACATTTAGAAGTTATGTTTTTTGAAATAAACTGGAATCTTGGAGGCAGTGTACACAGGCTTGGAGGTGGCTTGGAACAAGCAGAACTCAGTCCACTACCAGAGAAGAAATCTGTTCCAGATACGGCTGCCTGAATGACAGGCTCTGACCTCTATTACACAATAGCTATTGCCATTCCAAGGATTCCCCCTAGATGTAATCACACACACATACACACACACACACACACACACCCCTATGAAGCCCAGGGTACCAGAATTAGACAGGTGTCATCTATACTAACTACTCTCTAACTGCAAGTCCTATTCTTTCTGGGAGAGAAAAGAATGGGGCACAGTCGGCCAATGATACAAACATCCACGAGTGCACTTTAAAGTGTTTTAATAGAGGTAGAAAGGGAAAGAGTTATTTCTTCAAATCCAGGTTCTCCCCTCAGATGAACCCCAAGGAACTGAGATCCAGTAAAGCTGCTAAGGCCTTCTGCAGAACTCATAGCTCAGAAGACTGTTCAGAGTAAGGAAAACTTCATAGCACATATTTTTAGGGTGCAAATAAGAGAGGCTGTGACTCAGGGAGAGAAAATACTCTTTGCAAGATATACACAATGAAGACAGAGAAACAAAAGGGAGGAAGGTGTTCAATATCTGGAGGTTGGTTCCTCAAGGGCATAGCTGTGGACCATGTTACTTCTGGTTGTCCTTCTGCTGGTTTGGGCCTGGAATGACCACTGCGGGGTATGACTCAGGCACCTTGGTATTTCCAGGCTGAGGGACGTTAGTGTAGACTGGCTCCGTAACTTTGATGGGACATGGCTCCGGAAGTGTGGAATAGCCTTGCTCGGGAACCTTGGTGTTGTCCAGTTGTGGAACCTTTGGAAGGCATGGCTCCTCAGTTATGGGAACAAATGGTTCCTGAAGTGGAGGTGGACGCTGGCAGGGCTGTTTCACCTGCTGCTGCTCAGGCTCGGGGGGTGGGGTGAAGGGCTGCTTCTGCTGGTAGGAACTCATGCTTCAAAGAAGGCTGGACCTAGAGACAGAAAAGCTCATTTAGTAGTTTAGTAAAACAAGGAGGAAGCCAAGTCTAATGACAAATATCTTAATTTCAAGCCCCTTAAGAAATGAGAACTTCTCTTCTCTTTATTTTTGTTTCCTTGAATTTGAGAATCAAAGGAAACTTTGGGGATTCCTGCGCACTTTCAAGAGAAGTTTAAAGGTGGTTTATTTTGCTCCCATGGGAGTGGAGCCTTTCTCTTTGCTTCCTTTCTTCCTGTGTTTTTTCTGAAAACCTACATTAGCCACATAACATAACTTCAGGTTCCTAGGATTGATTGAAGCCCCCAGTTTACAATCAATTGAAAAAGTGGTCAAGTTCGAAATCTGGAGTCTACCCTCTCATATCCCTCACATAGAGTGCCTCAGTTCTCATAGGAAAATCCATAAGCCCACACAACTCCGTCTATGAGCCTCTATTCACATTGTCTTCTTGGTGCGTGTTTCTGGAAGTCTTTCCATTCTGCTGTTACTTGTCCATACATGCTCACCGCTCATGGCTCTCCTCCCAGATCCCAAGTCATCTTTCTCATTCTGACTCAGCACAATACCTGCCTCATCCTCTCTATTCTATGTGCAGTATTTTTTTGTAAATTACTCCTATGTATTACATTCTCTGAGGGATCATAGGTTCAAGGAGTAAAGAAAAATGTATCTTTTGTACATCCAAATTGCCACTGCAGTGCCCTCGATTTTGCAGAGTCTAAAAATTAATGAGAGAATATTAAAATGTCACTAAAATTGCCCTGAACATGAGCTGTAGTCTATATCCTCCTGCAAACTGAACAGATGGTCAACAGAAACTATTCCCCCTTTCTGACCCAAAATTCCACAGCTGTAATCTAAGTGAGAAGTCATAAAGAACTATAGTCAACTTAAACATAAATTACTTTGCATTTAGAATAAACATATCACAGCATGGCAAAGAGATCTTAATCAAAATACAATATCATTGGGCAAATATTAAGAAAATCCATGTGAGGAGTCTCACCTGGAGTGAAGAAACGTTTGAGTTGTCTGGTCTTCTGGGTCTGGTGAGAAATCTCTGGCCAGCTGGCATTTTATATAGAATATGAGCTTTGCCTTAAGGAAGTGGGATTTGGGAGTGCTAACCTGTCTTCATTCCAGCTTTAGTAGTGAAAATCTCTGGCTTAACATTTTGTGGGGCACTTACTGTTTGACAGTGATGTCACCTTTATTTGACAGGTCTGTTCTCATTGTCTACACTTTGTAGTGCGGTTGCTATGGGAAACAGGGTTCTTGGGTGGTGATAAGTTAAATCAGAGAGAAGTTCCAGGCTCCTGGGACCAGAAATAACCATGCCTGTTTAACAGGACCCTAATATTTAGCTCATATTAATTTTGTTGATCATTTTAATTTCCTAAGTGAATGTGGAGATGAACAATAGGCACTACTGCGTCTCCTGGGAGGCCATGGGAATGGTGGTAATAAGTGAAGCATCTGATATTCCATTTCTTAGTAGACCCAAACCTGGGAAAGGAAAGGACAAGTTAAAATGTATTCTTTGGAAATGCTTCCCTCTGAAGGGCCTTAAGATGCCACACTGACCACGCTGTGCATGTCATTGGGGATAGACAGTTAAGACTGGATCTGTCCAGCATGTTGGAACAGCCCTAAGACCCTGCTTCTCATGGGATCTCTCTTCTCTGTGGGCAACAAAGAATAAGAAAGACTGATTCTTTGAGTTCATGAACCAACCACATCCTCTGATCAGGATAAGGTGAAATAGAGGTCACTAATCCAAGGTTGACCTCAATGCACAATCTCTTACTAAGTGTGGCCCTTAGGAAATTAAAACACTCTTAAAATTCAGGTATGTGGATGGCTCCTCCCTTCCCACTGCTTTACCTCTCTTATCTCACATTAACCTGAGTCTCAGGCACAGCCACCACTGGGATCTCTTTTCATTAGTTCTCAGAAGCTCTAATTACACTTTAGCCTCATCCATTGTCTAGTAGATGTGCAATTATTGTTTTCCTTGATAGATGTATAGGTTCATAGAAGAGAGCAAAGAAGGAAAGATTGAAGGAAAGAGGGAAAGAAGAAAGGGAGATATGAAGAAAGAAGGAAGGAAGGGGAGAGAGAGAGAAAGAGAAGAAAGCATTATTTTAGAAAGATATACATGAACTGCTTGCGTGCATGCTAAGTTACTTCACTTGTGTCCGACTCCTTGCGGCCCTATGGACTGTAGCCTGCCAGGCTCCACTGCCCATGGAGATTCTCTTGGCAAGAATACTGGAATGGGTTGCATTCCCTCCTCCGGGGGATCTTCCTGACCCAGAGATCGAAACTGCATCTCTTGCATCTCCTGCATTGTCAGGCAGGTTCTTTACCACTAGTGCTGCCTGGGAATCCCGTGAACTGCTTGAACAATCATAATAAGGTGACTTCTTAGAAATGATTCACTATCTTATGACAGGCTTAACAGTGCGGGTTGAAGAGGTGAGGGTTCGTCATGCTCTTGCTCTGCTTCCTTCCCCACCCATGCCCTTCCCTCTCAGCTACTGTCTGACCAGCCATGACCCTCTAAGGTGGGGCCAGTGTCACTGTCACATCTAAGCTCTAGTCTCTGGTCTCACATTAGGTCTCCTCTCAGGCTTGTCCAGGTCCCTCACTTTCCTAAAACCACCTCTCAGAGCTCTTGACACAGGAATCTTTGCCCAGATCCTGCTGCTCTCCCTGGGGTTCTTATTTCCAGAGAAACTGCTTCCTGTTCCTCTGCATGAATCTGGGTCTTCCTCATGTCCTACACTGATTATTGACTTTGGTTCTAGAAGAAATTCCTTTCTCATTTCCTGACTCCCTTCCCTGGTGGACTCTCTTTTGCTCTGTCCTAATCCATGCCTTTTCACCCTAACAAAAGCCTCTCTGGCCATCAGCCACTAGACCCTCTAATTTACCCACAGTGTTGTTTCTCTTTGGACAAGCCAAATCTTTGGCCAATCACTGTGTGTTTCCCCTAACAATGTGACTCTATAGGGGTCAGTTTCCTTAAGGCATATAGCACTGGTGAAGAAACCAAACTTCTCTGAAGGATAGAAAGAGTGTCAACACCAAGCCAGTGAATATGCTTGTCCAAACAGAAACAACAGTATGGGTAAATTAGAGGATCAAGGGGGACTTTTAATGTATTTGTAGAAATGCAGGCTTGAATAGTTAATGCTTCACAGCAACACCTTACCACTGGAATACATGAGTTGATAGACAACGCTTCCCCCTTTCATTCCCAGAGAAAACCCTTCTGAGACACACTTTTTCATATTTAATATGTATAACTAAATATGAGTTTGGATGTGTGCAAACACCTGTAATATCATCTTCACAGAAGAGAGACATATCCAACACTTACAATGTGTTCCCCACTCCCCACTATTTTGTGGTGAGAAATTTATGTATTCTCTTAAATTTTAAGTACACTATACCATATTGTTAACTAGAGCTATTATGTTGGAGAACTGATCTCTAGACTTTAATCATATAGCATAACTGAAACTTGATATCCATTGAATAACAACGCTCCATTTGCCCTACCATTTCACCCATAGAAAACACCACTATACTCTCTGCTTCTATGAGTCTATTTTAAATGCCTCATATAAATGGAATCATACAGTATTTGTCCTCATGTAACTGGCTTATTTCACTTAGCCTAATGTTCTCCAGGTTTATCCATGTTGTTGAGAATGGCAAGATTACTTTCATTTTAAAGAGCGACTAGTATCCCACTTTGTTTATGTCAATATTTTCTCTGTCTATTAATCTGCTAATGGACAATTGTATTGTTTCCATATCTTGGCTACTATAAATAGTGCTAAAAAGGATATGGGTGTGTAGCTACCTCCTGGAGATGATGATCTAAATTCTTTTGGATCAGTTCAGTTCAGTCACTTAGTTGTGTCTGACTCTGTGACCCCATGGACTGCAGCATGCCAGGATTCCCTGTCCTTCACTAACTCCCAGAGCTTGCTCAAACTCATGTCCGTCGAGTCGGTGATGCCATCTAACTAACTCATCTTTTCTTATCCCCTTCTCTTCCTGCCTTCAATCTTTCCCAGCATCAGAGTCTTTACCAATGAGTCAGTTTCTTCACATTAGGTGACCAAAGTATTGGAGCTTCAGCTTCAGCATCAGTCCTTCCGATGAACAGTAAGGACTGATTTCCTTTACGATGGACTGGTTTGATTTCCTTGAAGTCCATGGGACTCTCAAGAGTATCCTCCAAAACCACAGTTCAAAAACATCAACTCTTCGGTGCTCAGCTTTCTTTATCGTCCAACTTTCACACCCATACATGACAACTGGAAAAAAATAGCCTTGACTAGATGGACGGTAATGTCTCTGCTTTTAAATATGCTGTCTATGTTGGCCCTAGCTTTTCTTCCAAGGAGCAATTGTCTTAATTTCATGATTGCAGTTGCCACCTGTAGTGATTTTGGAGCCTAAGGAAAAAAAAAGCCTATAACTGTTTCCATTGTTTCCCCATCTATTTGCCATGAAGTGGTGGGATCAGATGCCATGCTTTTAGTTTTATGAATGTTGAGTATTATGCCAACTTTTTCACTCTCCTCTTTCACTTTCATCAAGAGGCCCTTTATTTCTTCACTTTCTGTAGTAAAGGTGGTGTCATCTGTGTATCTGAGGTTATTGATATTTCTCCCTGAAATCTTGATTCCAGCTTGTGCTTCATCCAGCCTGGCATTTCACATGATGTACTCTGCATATAAGTTAAATAAGTAAGGTGACAATATACAGCCTTGATGTA